TGCCAACACCCTACAACCAAGTACCTTGCTGTTCTCTTTGCTGCCAGAAGTTACAAGAACAAACTCGACCGGGCCGAGCTGAGCCTCCACTTTCACGCTCACAGAGCCACAAAGTGTTTTGGGGAGTGGGTCAAACCACTCTGAACCCCGTAAGATGTCTTCAGGTTGGGCACGAAGACTTCAATGACTGCAGAGATGGTGATGGTGAAAGACTACTTCGAGCTTTGCTGGACTATGAAGACTCAACATTCAAGCCGCTCCAATTGTATAGATCTCCGGAACCTGGTTGTGAAGACGTCAGAGATAGTGACTGCGCAGGATTCTGCATGATTGCCTGCGGCTGTGCTTCGTGTGATTATCTAAATTGTGGAAAGCAAATGCTTAGAAGGCGCCGTCATGGCTGCTCCAATGTGTAGGGAACATTCGTAGCAATTGAACCACTTGCTGCCCCATTTGTAGCGGCATTTTCTTTGTGATGCCCTATTGGTAGCAGCATTAACCGTTTGAATCAGGTACTGTAGCGTCGATATGGATCAAAATAATTCACTGGCACGGGTGACGCTTGGCTATGTTATTTGTACAAAGTACTGCGAGGTGGGGCTTGCTGGCTACAGAAACAAACGCGGACACATCAGCGGAGGTCCCAATTGCGGAACACATCACTTGGTGACGATCAAACTTGAGTGTCGATCGGCTTGGCCGGGTTATTGTATGGAACAGTCATGGTTCTGGCAAAAGTACCAAATGACCAGTCACATGTCATGGAGGCGCATTGGCCATGATCTCTCAACACTGCGTGTCATGTCAGAGTGTGACAGCTCTTTAATGTCATCTTTTTGGCTGTCCCTGGCAGCAAAGTGATGTAAGGATGTAAATTGGGTGTGCTTGTTGCAGATAGTTCCGGCGCCTCTCCACTTCTCATCATACTTTTATTTTTTGACCTGTACAGTCAGAAAACGGCCGTTGCAAGCTACCAGGACGTCAAACACTAAACAGCTCCCTCTCAAGCATTCTTAACCGAACCAGTCTTGCATTCAGGCTCCTTATCTTCCAGTTTTGGCACCAAAGTTGTCAAAGAGTTTGACTTTGACAGCAACCATTGCTCTTGCGTTGCTTCAGCTTCGCTACATCTCGCGGTGGAATGGGGCAATAATCCACCAGCCTCTGTCAAAGCTCTGAGCGGCAATTGTTCAACAATGCATACTACTGAAAACAATGAAAAACAGATGGCCTTATGGCCTTATAAAATTCAACACCCTCCGTGAGGACCTATAGAGGACCTTAAAGCCTCATCCGGCCCATGCGAAAAGGATTTCCGAATCACAATCATGGGCCGAGTATAAAACGAGAACGGGTCCGGAGACTAATGCCGAAAGCCAAGAACCACTGCAGCTTCTCTTCTGTCTTGAATGGCAGCTCTTAGCAAAGCTTACATATCCCAAAGCCCAAACAGGCTGGGATCAACAAATTCAGCAGAACTGGAAAAGCTCGACAAAGCGGTGACTTTTCAAGCCTTTCACCCAAATCTGCAAATTGGAGTTGCCTGGATTTGGGCGTGTCTGTGTTTCAATCTACCACTTAAGTACAGGTACTGAATGGAGGCTGGCCCACACCTCGAAGTGCAGCAGTTTGCATGTTTGTCAAAAAGCATTTTGCGCATCATCTTGCAAGCTTCCAAGGACCCAAGTTGGGTTTCAGAAGGGTCAGGTCTCACCAAATGCGGCTTGCTTAATGAGGGGCTTGTGCTTTGGAACAAACGGGTTACTTTTTCAGGATTTGGTCATGAGTCATGACTCCTTTGGGCTGATCTTACTAAAACTGACGGAATGAGGGGGAAGAGACATACACAAAGAAGCTAGTCAAGGATTGACATGGCTTGCAAAAAAATGTCAAGTTAGGCCTGCTCCCCAAACCGAGATGGAATTCACGCGGCGGCCAATACTGGCCCTCACTTGGAAGGAAGGAGCTGGAAGCCTGCGGGAAACAGCTGTTTCAAGCACCCGCACATAAAATCTGCAAATCCGTCCGACAAAACGATGCCTCGCAAACTTGGCCCTTCTTTGGAACAGGATCTGAAATCGTTGGCCAACCACTCACAAGCCATAATCTTATTGTGAGGGCCACGACCCGTTTTAATGAACTGACAATTTGTCTGCACATGCCTAGATGGACAGCATACACTTTGCACTTCCTTGGGTCAAACCCGTGCTAACAACAAGTTTTAACCGCGATTCTCGAGCATCTTGCTTTGACATCCAACATTCGATCAACATCAGGGTCACATGTTGGGTTTACAGGGAAAAATCTGAGACGGTCGCATATGTTATCTCAGCAAGCCTGATCTCCAGGCAAATCGCCAGAAGCTGAGAGCCAAAAAACCCTGCTCATGCAGCGTGTTCCAAAATTCTTCGAGAACAACAAGTTTGCGAGGCTTAGTTGGAGGATGTTGGAGGATAGAGTCGCAACTTTTTTCTTGAAGCCTTAGTGGCCGCAGTGGCCTTCATTCTCTGAGGCCTCGCGGCCTCCCTGGGACAGTTTGACCGCGGTTCAAAGCTGCCCAGATTGGAGAGCTCGAGAGCTCTGGGACATATCAACAACGGAAGTATCAATCAGACACCAATAGTTTGCCGATGGCTGAAAGCTGTTTTCTATACCTGACATGTTGAGGAACATGGGATCACAGATTCAGCGCCCGCTCTGGAGCAACCACTGCCATTCAGAAAGCATAAGCAAGCCCTATTTCGTGCAAAATGCAGAAGAATTATTCGTTGAACTCATCAAGACATTTTACTTACATCCAGAACTCCCAAGCCCCCTGCTATTGTGGTGCCTTTCAGGTTTGATGCAACCCGCTCTTAGATTACATTGCATATAGAAGCATATAGACATATGAACAGGCTTAATATGGGGGCGACTGTCCAGTCGGTCTGTGGATTGGTTCAAGTGGCCCCCTTCTGTCGCCATTACTCTTGCAGCAGCCTCGCATCGCGGGTTTTCTCTTTGGTGGTGCCTACTCATTGCAAAACTACGTTCGCAAACCTTCACGGCTGGCTGAGTTTTTCGTACATTGTTGCGGCCGGCTGAGTTTTTCATACATTGTTGCGAAGTTAATGCATTTGAGGAACCGTGGTTTTAGTTCGTGCGAAGGTATGCTACTTGAACCGCCCTTCATCCGAAGACTTTTGGGTGTTTGGATGCTGCTCGGATGACTTCTCTCCAGTTGGGAACTGGCAGCACTGGACGACAATTTTCTTGGAAGAAGCACAGTTCGTTTCGTGGTGCAACTGATGTACAACGCAAGCACAGCCAAGGGATCTGGAGTCTATAGAAGATATCCAGAGAATGCGAGTCCAACGGATATACCTGATACCTTTGGTTTCAACTTGTCAGCGGGGCAAAACACGCCTCTTCCTGCACTTCTTTATCACAGTATACTACGCTTCTGGGCAAACGATGCACAAATATGCACAAATGTCGAATCAAATCTCAATCGCTACGAGTCTGGGATCGAGCTGCTTAGTTTCACCTGCTCCATGAGATTGAGAAAATGCCAAGCACCTGGGGCGAATGTGCCACACCCTTGACACTGATGGCAAAACGCTCGCCCGAGGCCGCTGAAAGCCAAACGCTACACCAAAAAACACCAGGTCGAGACAGAAAAATCTGATTACACCCTTACCACCTAAATTTTTGATGAGATAGAAGTTCAGTACTGTGTGAAACACGAAAACAAAACACCTTTCTCACTTTCCCATACCATGACCGTGGAAGAAGATCAACATGACAAATCATGTTGCGTCTGCGAAATCTCGTACTGGCAAAAGATTTCAAGTCGTCTTCAAGAAGCCAATACGCTAAGCTGCAAAGTACAGCGATCAAACCTGCGTCGTGACCAATACCCCAACCTTGGACGATAAGCAACATGGAACAACCGTATCCTGAATTAGGGAAATAATGGCCTCAAACAGCTTGACCTTGTCACACATCAGTCAGATCAATCCTAGCTATTTCACTCACAGATATGCGGAGTAACATCCCATCAGCGCACCAAGACCCAGCTTCCAGCAGTAGGGCAAGCTGAAGGTGCCCAGGTAGAAGAAGCTGGTCACCAGCCTTGAACGAAAAAAAACAGCCATGCCATGCCTCAACTCTCAAAAAAAGGGAAAGGGGCTTGGCCATGCCTCCGTTTCATTTTTGAAAAAGCTGGGGAGGTGGTTTCAACCTGAAAAGTATGCTCGTCATTGGGGATCATCATCCCAGTGCGAGCCCGCGCAGTCGAAATGCACATCAACATGTCACAAGAGCCACTTTCTGCGGAAATCTACAGGAAAAATGAAGCGCGTCGAAATATTGAAGCATTGGAGCATTGGTTTAAAGCCACCTCAGTTTGAAGGAACATCGATCCAAGATGCTCCAAGAATCAGGTTCTGTACATTTCTGGACCATGAATGGCCATGTTGAATCATCCCTGAGGCAAAAAGATAGGACAAAAAATGGAAAAAAGAGAGAGGAAGATAGACGAAGTCTCTGTGTCCTTTTCAGTTTTCTTACTCAACTTGAAGCAGAAACTTCATCCCAAAACATGTCTGTTACTGTGTGCATGTGGGTGGGTTGGCACCTCTCATCACATTGCTTCAGCGGACTGATATGACAAGGTTACATGTCCTCATGAGCACCAGGTTCCCGACAATCCGTCGAAGCAAGGATTTCGAGTGCCTTTCGATCTCAGACCACAGTCGATCACACACTACCAATGTCAATTTGTAGCATTCCTATCTGAAGATACCGCCGCGCCGCGCCTAAGAAAAAGAAGTGGAAGAGGCAAAGATACAACAACTCGACTGAATACAAACAAAGACAACGAACCATGAGACAAAACCAACGAAATTTAAACAATAATACTAATTCTAATGCAAAAAACAATATAGAGGTGATGTTCGTCTCAGTCCAACCGCGGACTGTTCCGAGCTCAAGAGATGTGGAGATTTCGGAAGCATAAGTCACCATGTGTGGTCCACGGCCGGACCATACCCAAAAGATTTCACAAAAATGTTTCGAAAAGTGGGATGAAAGATGATGAAAGCCAACTGAGCCAACTTTTCCTGCCTTAGCAGGCCACACGGCAAAGGTTTCTGCCGTAGACTGCAGGGGCAACGTTCACCTCAGGTTGCAGGAATATCAATCTGGGAATGGATTTAATATAACATGATTAAACCACCCCTAACGGTCAAATCTTGTGGAATCTGTCTGTGGAATCTAGTCGCGCCAGGTTCCGGGCTGCTGGAGCGGCTCGCGAAATCCAAGGGCCTGTCATCGGTGTGTTTAACTTGAAACCAATATTTCGCTCCACACCACACACCACCATTCGCGACAGGAGCCCATTCACCTTTCAGGAGTTTCCAAACCTCTTAGTGGATTGAGTCTCCATACAATATCATTTCATTGTTCGTATTTCTGCTCATATGCACGACACACACCATGCACATCACTACGCTGTGCATTTCGGCTCTACCCCGGGAATGCCCGAAATAGCCTCCACAGCGAGGAACCATCGACGCCCTGCCGCATCACACAGGCATCGGCAGCACTGACTGTGGGGGTGGCGGCATCCCTGGGGTGGTGAGGGTGGAGCCCGGAGGGCCTCTGCGGAGGGCCTCTGCCACCATGGCTGCCACCCTGGGGGACACCGTTGCCAGCTCCGGCATCTGGGCTATCAGCCCTGGAGGGGCAGGGGGGAAGCCAAATGCGCAGGCAGGCAAGGGATGTGGTGGGAGGGTTCCGGGCAGCTTGGAAGTAAACCACTCGGGGCCGAAGCTTGGGAGAGGGCTCATTGACCCTTTCCCGTCCGTCTTGCACACCTGGCCAGGCAAGAAAGTGACGGAATTATCCATGTCAGGTTTGGAAACAAAAATCGAGAGTATGATTGATGTAGTATGATGTAATGTGACACGGCAATACCGTGTCAATGTTCTGATATGTTCTAATGATTGTCCAGTCGAATGTCTGTTAATTCTGTTGTCTGTTTCCGTCTGACAGCATGGGGAGTTCAAAGGCATTCTTAGGATTTCTTAGGTAGCACGGTAGCACTTACTTTGGGTTAGCTGTCAAGCGCATGGCGCATGGAGCATGGTACCTCTTGCGGCTCTCAGAGACCCATGGAGTCACCCCGGACCTTTTGGTTGGAAGGTCACCATCTTCTCAATCTCGTTAGTCAAACCAAAGCCTCGGCTTGGAGTTTGAATGATGGGATGGGCACGCCGGGCAGCTTGGGCAAGTTGAGCACTGCCTTACATTTTGAACAGCTCACAGGTCACTTAGAACAAAAGGGAAAAAGGTCACTCAAAAGGTAAAACCATGTAAAACCACTGCCCAAAGGAAACCAAAGCTGGCTGGGACTCGTCTGGGCTAGGGACCAGAGCTCCCGCGACCATTGATGACAGGCATCCAGATGGGCTTCGGAGGCGACTTTCCTGAGGGCCGCAGGAGACGCATGGCGGAAGCAGGAGGGACAATGCTGGAAAGACAAAAACTATCAGAAGACTGCAACATGTTCTAACATGTTCTAACATGTTCTAACATGTTCTAAAATCCTTCAACCGTCTTTTCCTGGCACCCTTCAGCTCTTCAGCATCTTGAACCATATTATGGTTGCCGCCTTCAAATCTTTCAAAGAGGAACTGTGAAGCTTCTCAAGTTTTGAGAGATGGTCCTTGTGTTGTTTTTCAAAACCTTCTGCGAATGAAAGTGTAAGCACGCCAGAAAAACAAAACTGTGATCCAACGGTGGCCAGATCGTGGCAGAAGGTTTGAAGTGTGTGTCAAAGTCCGCTTGTGCCCCCCTTAGACCCACCAACACCATGAAAACTATCCTGATAGTAGTACGTTTCTTGTCCTCTTCATTATGTCAATTCATTGATTGATTTACTTGACAGTACCAATAGGACTCAGCATGTGGTTCATTTACTCTTTGAATTATGTACAGTTCTGCATAGTTCTGCCATATTTCTTTGGTTGCGTTACATGTCACGAGGTGCTGTCAGTTTCGTGTTTTCATTGGTTTGCTCTTGTTGTTAGACTGCCGTCAAGTCTTGTCTGATCATCAGAAACGACAGCCCTGCTGACATCCCGATCTGAAATTGAAATATTAATTGCTTATTATGTTAAGAACGGACACACAGGATCCATGCCGACCCCAAGGTAACATGACATCATGAAAACATATGCAACATTATGCAACCATGTTCAGTCTGACTCAGCCTCCCACCTTCAAATAACGACCCTGACCTTGTGCGAGGCTCCGGGGTCGTGTCGATTTCATGTCCCATTTGCATGTCCAATGTCTCAGGGTCTGAAAGATCATCCACCCTCGTTCTACATGACCTACTTGCGTGTGCACCTTTAACCGTTTGTACGAAGGAATTAAGGTCTGGATGGATGTTTCAATGCCAAACTATACTCTTCATGGATGTGCACCTTGTCACAAGTGAGCAAAACGTGGGAGTTTTGTAGCAGTTTCCATCACTTTAGCGGAAATAGGTTAAATATAATATTATATATATATGGTTTTATCATAAAACCATATTTAAAAAAAAACAGAACACTGTCTGCACTGACCTTGTTTAGAATTTCAGTTTTATTTTGACGTCTGAGGGACTGGCGCACTGTGCAACAGGGACATGAGGCACAAGTCACCCGGCGACGCGGGCTGTGTTAGGCTCGCAATAAGGGCTGCGGATGGCTGCGGAATCTGCAAAGCATCAGATCTCTTCGTGCAAGATCCATACTGAGAATCGATGATTTTACTCTACAACTCTTACAAGATCCTCTGTTTCGGGATGTTGAATCAATCAAAATTGCCAGAATAACCTGTCAAATCCCCAAGTTGAAGGAAGGAATCGAAAGTAACTATTCACTATTCAAAAATAATCAAAATACATCACCCAACAAAACACACGAGAATATCAATTCAAAATGTCGATCTCTTGGTGTAATAACCTGTGACATCCTGTAACATCCAGCCTTTGGAGCTGTACAAACCAAGGCTCCAGATCCCGCCCTTCAAAACACCATGAACACATCAAAATAAAGAGCTGGGGACAGTGGACGAAAATGGATTAACAATCTGTTTAACAAGTGCACCAACCAAGACCAAAAACCTCAGAATACACACCATGGATCCACCGCTTGGTGGCACTTTGTTTGGGGCACTGTCTCGGGTCACAGGCTGTGTCCAGCGCCCAAACATCACCAGTTTAATCCGGTTGTTGCAAACTTGGACAGCCAAGGCCACAAGGCAACTGCATTCTTTTCAGAATGGCACAAATCTATCCAAAGATGACAAATCCATCAATGCATGTCAATGCCACATCCACATCTCTCACAAAATCCAGATCCGCAAAGAGGCGTTGGACTTGCGATTCGCAAATCGCCATGAGTTTAGGGCGCCTCTAGAATTTTCAATGTTCACTCAGAAAAGCACAAACTGCTCAATGGCACAAGCTTGCGGAGAGCCTCATGATGGTGATGGGAAATTGTTTCTCTTTTGAAGCAAAAACGAAGCAGTCCTGCCACCATCTTCCGTCCCTGCACTTTATCCAGTCGCCGGTCAGGTCGTAACCAAGGCAAGCTCAAAGAGAGCAACGTAGAGTGTGCACCAACGTTTTTGCAAGACACCGATGACAGCGCCAAATGGTATCCTGCAGGTACTGCAGGGTTCTTCTATGATGCTTTTTGTGATCTTGATACATCACAGAAATATTGGCAGAAGCCAGGTACAAACACTACAAGCGCACCAGTAAGGCACAAGAAATGCATCAAACCGCACCTGGTCCTCAGCAGCCTGCTTCAGCGTCCCATGTAAAAAATCTCGAATGGTGTCAATTTCAACAGCCACTCGCAGTCGTCCGAGCGCAGCGTGCCGAGGAGATTCCACAGTGGCTTTCCACAGGGATGTGGGACCCGGAAAATCTGACTGTTCTGCTTGAGGCAACAGCTTCTGCACAGGTGAAGTTGGACACCAAGTATGAATGGATTGGTCGCTGGGTGCTGGCTCTTGGAAGTTCATTATCGGTTTCAAAAGAAAAAAATTGTAAACGAGTAAACGGCATGTCATTTTTGCACGTTCAGGGCGATGGGACATTCAAAGTCAACTGCCAGTTTTGTCCACTGTCAACTCTGGCGAGAAGGTTGCAATGTGCGAAAGGTCTCACATTGCAACCTCCTCGCCAGAATTGAAA